TCCTTAGCTAGGTCACACCCCCTCACCGTGGGAAGACAGGTTACTTAACTCTTTGTTCTCTTCCATTTTCTCTCTTCAGCCATGTCACCCTACCCTGCTCTAAGATCAGACCACATGGCTTTAGCAAGTCATCTTAGTGTTTCTATACAAAAATTTTAGAAACTCTTACAACTTTTTAAAACGATGTTGTTCTGCCTGCTTTTTTCTTGCTGCTGCATGGAAAAGCACATCAATCTGACCTCTGAAAAAATTGTCAGTAAACCATTTTTAACTTACCGAACCCATGGTCTCTTTCTATATTAAGGGAAGTGAGAAACTTAGGAAAGAAACTTAGGAGAGGATATTTTAAAGGTCTAACAGCATATATTTCCAGTATTTTACTTTACTGCATGTTTTGTGATTTTAAATATCTGCTACGGCTCTCTCACCACAGAAATCTTGCAGGCAATAACTCTGGCGTCATCTAGCAACTCACTTCTTTATGGTAGTTTTAAGGAACTGCTCCAAGTGGCTACCATTGCACCATAGATTCTTAAAGACTTCCCCATGTAGCAGTTACAAACCAAGCAGCACACTGGAAGCAAAATAATCTGACTCCATCTGCAATGCCACAAACCCTAAAAGCAGTGAATGACATCAGCCCTTATATTGATCCATACTATATTAATCCGTAATAGATTAATCCAGTCATGCTGGTTCAAGCATATATCTGGAAATAAGTCCCATTCCAATCTTAAATTCAGATGCACTTTCATAATTCACATCCAAAATAAGATTTAAAAAATGGACCCATTTAAGCCATATGTTTTGACAAAACTCACAAGTAGGATATGTAAACAATAGCTCTCCTGCTTCTTGTTCCCAGGTGCGAGTCAGAGAGAGGCAGCCATCTCAGGTGAGAGGTACTACAGAGTGGCAGCTAAGAGTATTGGAGGAGGGAGCGCTATATGACATGGGGCCTCCCTGCTATGCTGCCCTCAAGCGCAGTGAAAGATGCTGTCCTGTTTCCACTGTCAAAGAAAGGCTGTGTACACACTATACTTTTATACTGTGAGGTAAACTCTAAGCCAGGGGTCCCCAAACTAAGGCCCGTGGGCCAGATAAGGCCCGAGGGACTCGTTTATCCGGCCTGCAGTGACCCCTGCCGCCCGCTCGGTTTTACCAGTGCTGCACTGTGCGGCCTCCCACTTCTGGGTCGGAGGAGCACCAGAAATAGCTTATGCGCAAGTGTTATTTGCGCACGCGCGTTATTTCCGGTGCACATCCGAGTCGGAGGAGGCCCGTGCACATGTGCACAAGCTATTTCTGGTGCTCCTCCAACCCGGAAGTGTGGCAGAAATAGGGTGTGCGCACGCATGTGGGCACGTGCTCCCCCACCCTCCGCCCCGCCGCGCAATTGGCGCTGGAGACGTGTGGTAAGTTTGCTGACCCCTGCTCTAAGCAACCCTTAACAAACTGGCTGGCATCTTGCCTGTTGTCTCAGCCAGCAAGATGTCTTGAGGCAGTTCTCCTCATCGCTTCCAAACTACTCGCCTCCAGCTGATTATTTGCAAGAGAATAAATGGTGTTCAAATCCAGAAAAAGCCAGCTAATGCTGGAGCAGCCCAACAGGAAGAAGCACCAAACACATCATATATGCCCCCGACTTGTTTCCTTGCCAGCTTTATATCTTCACATCTTGTGTTAAGGGGTTTTTGTTTCATTGTGGAAGGAGGAACACTTTAATCTAAAGGCTAAAAAGCAGTTGATGTGCAATTACCATATTTTACTCACTTGGCTTTTCCCTGCGGCTGAAGCCTTAGAGCAATTATAACATCTTATAAAGAATATGAAATCAAACATTAATTATCAGATGAAAGACAGTTAATTATCTCAGAAGAGAACCCAATGACCCTGACACAGACTGAACTTACTCCTCAAAAAAAAATCTAAAAGTACAAAATAAAATTATTTAAAAACAAAACCATTAATATTTCCCTAGCAGAGAAAGAGTAAATAATGTGCACCTCAGTTTAAAACCAAACTAAAAGAGTAACAGCATGAAATTAAATTATCAAACAATTACCAAACAAACATACATACACACACACACTAAGAAAACATTGCCTCTTGACTTCATAAATGTAGGGATAATTAAAAATAGCTAATTCAGTCATAGAAATATTAGTTTAACTCCCACCCCAATAATACCCTATTTTATTTCTTCATTTTTAGGGCCTTACAGGGCAATCCTTACTCAGAAGTAAACCCTAGTGAATTCGGTGGGGCTTATTCCCAGGTAAATGGGGTTAGGATTCAAGCCTTAGTTCCAAAGTAAAATATTAACGAAATGCTTTGTCCTTGTATATCTGGCACCTAATGCAGAGAACAGAATCCGGAAAGCTTGAGACACAGAGGGTGATGGCGACACTCACCTGACAGGGGAGGCAAAGCAAAGCAATCCAGCTGTGAGAAGGCCAATGATGGGAGGCTTCAGCCAGTAAATTGGGCAGGTGGATGAATTTAAAGGGTAAGGCAGGCTCCACACGACAGTATTCCCTGTTCCGGCACCTTCCGTCTTTCCCTTGGCCCATCACTCATGTTCTTTATATGCAGGAAAGATTGTACAGTGTTCATCTCTGCTAACCATTGCTACGTTGAAAGGGAATCTACTGATTTCAAGCAAAGCTGTGGGAACATGAGGATGCTTTGTGGCCACTGTGGCTGGAGTGTTAAAGAAGCCCAGGAGAGGAAGCAAGACACAGAGCCCGTTTCACTTGGGAAATTCCAGATAACTAAATCAACCTAGGGGCCCCAAATGGAGTGGAGTTGCAGAAGGAAGTGGGAAACAGAGTAAGCAGTGGGTTGGAAAGCAGATATGTGAGAGGATCAAGGCAAAAACAGGCCAAACAGCTGGAGAAGGCCTCTAAGCATGTCCGTGGATGGTCACAGGAGCCGGGCATCTGGGAGTGTGGGGGGCAGAAGGCAGAGGACCAAGAGCCAGAAGCGGACTGAATTCCAGTTATTGGCCTGAACTAATTAGCTAAATTTTAACTGCAGGTGTCTGGCAAAATGTTATTAGATGGAACATATATGTGCCATTGTTGGTGTCCTATGTGCATTGTAGCTTTGGAGTGTATGAAGGCAGTCAAAGTAAATGTCCTTAAAACAAAGCAAACAAAAAACCTGCAGTGGGTGGGGGACTGGAATACGGCTACCAGCTTTTTGTTTTACTGGCCTGAACCGTATGTGTTTAATCACAATCTGAACAGTAACTGAGCTGCTGAAAATGTGGCAACCTTAGGTTCACTTACTGCTTATGACCATAATCCAAGATGGGGAGAGAAAGACACCCATCTGCAGAAGTCAAGTGTCTCCACAAAGCTGTAGTCCAAACTGTATTTTACAGTCATAAAAATTAAGATGTCGTGGTGAGAACTTGGTCGGAGAATTTGAGGGAGGTAATAGCATGTCCACTGGATACACTTTCCCTTTAAGCAGCTGCTGTGGGCTGTTTGAAAGCTCCAGAAATATTTTGTTCCTGTTATTTTAAATATTTCTAAGCCATCTTTCAAGGCAAAAAGCTCTCCTAAGGCAGCTCACATAAAAATATAGACTTGCAATGCAAAACTTCAATAGAATACCATAATTTTAGAATAGAATACCAACCATTTTAAATACTATTTAAACCCAGCAGTAAGACAGCTACTAATAATCCAGAACTTGCGAGAATGAAACTAAAAAAAGGATGACCTCATACTTCTCTGAATTGTTATCACTGAATGCCTTAAAGCTGTCGCTGGACGTCTCTTGGTGTTTTCCAGAACAAATAAATGTTATGGTGTTAATAGTCCCTCAGAGGATCATTATGAATAGCTCATGACAGTTATTTTCCAGATCTGGGAGGAGGAATGTTTTTTCATTGTCTTCAAAGACAGCTGGCTATTTCTGCCACATGGCATTCTTCAGGGCCATAAATCAAAGCATAGCCACTCCTCTACACGGTTCGGAACAAATTTCTGATCACTAAGGATTTTAAAGTAATGGGATTATTATAAACTGGTTGACAAACGTGGCCATAATAAAGCAATGTCTACAAAGGTCAAAGGAATATCTCAAGACTGCTCATTGCCAGCCCAATATTTGGCCCGTATTCATAATTCCAGCAAGGAAATAGAAGCTAAATTAAATAATGCAGCTTGTGATGCAGATTTACATGTCAAACCTACACATTCACTCGTTTACTCTGTCACCAGCTTGACAGAAAGTGCAACAGTCACGTTTTAGTTTCAGATCCCAACGCAAAGCAACAAGCATTCAAGCTAGATATAGGTATGTCTATCCAAGAGAACTCTATAGGATAATCCACATGGTCATTTCCCATGCATTTAATTAATTGATTGATTAAAATCCCACTTTTTCCCCTCAGGGAGCTCCCGGTAGTGTAGACGGTTCTGCCCCTCCCCATTTCATCCCCACAACAGCCCTGTGAGGTAGGCTAGGTTCAGAGGCGATGTCTGGCCCACGGTCACCCAGTGAGCTTCATGGGCGAGTATGGGGACTAGAACCCGGGTCTCCCAAGCCCTAGTCCAACACTCTGCCAACCACACCACACTACTACAATGCGCAGAGCAGGGGGAGAAAACTTCAGGCTAGAGGAATCTGATTTGGCTTTCATGTCCATCAGCCAGAACCAGGTGCAAAATAGTCGTCGTAACAGGTAGACGGATGCAAGGGACAGAGTCCCGCTGAGCCCAGGAATTAGCGATCAGCCCAGAACCAAGTTCACAAGGCCACTATTATCTCCCCACCCCAGCAACTTAACGTAGGGAACAACAGAAAAGGTTTTGTTCCTCCTGAGTGAGATGATTCAGACACCAAGTTCTTAATAAAGCACCCAGAAACTTGCTTAAAATAGCCTTTCAGCATAGTCATTGTACAAATTTAGGAATATATATTACGCCTAAGAGCTCAAAATCTTTTTAGAAATGGATTGGGTGGGTGAACATACTGAAACTTACTTCTGATAAGGCAGAGATGCTATCTATTAGCGGTTCTGACAATCTGGGTGAGGATATCGCTGTGCTCTGGGAACGGTTACATTTCTGATGAAGTGCCAGGTGTGCAGCTACAGGTATGGCACCGGAGGGTCTTCCCTGGATGGGCTGGTGGAATTGACAGAAACACAGAGTGCCTTTTGGAGGCTGTGGCCGGTTGCTGGTGGAAACCACAGGAGGGGGGCGAGTGTCCTCGTGGTCGAATCCTGCTTGGTTTGCCACAGGCAACTGTTCAGTCACTGTGCGAACAGGGTGCTTGGGCCATGGGCCTGATCCAGCAGGCTCTCCTTATGTTCTTATGCAGCTTTTCCTATAGAAGTTGGGCCTCCACCCTCCTCTGGACTAGATTCCCACAACGCTCTCTACCTGGGAACACTTTTTGAAACAGTCTGGAAACTTCAACATGTGCAAAATGGGCCTGCTAGTCTGTTATCTGGCCCTGGAATATAACAGCATATATAACATGGATCCCGTTCCATATGCACAGGATGTACAGAAGCAAAGTTTGATAATTTTAGACTCTGGAGGTGTTAGAGGGTAATATGCAGGGCCTCCCCCTTCTACTTGTGGTCATGGGCCTATAAAGGTTCAAATATTCAAATATGTGAGGTAGTGGAGAATGCTGATCATATTTGAGGGAAAGGTGGAATAACAGCTAAACAGTGCTCAACTGTCGACAAGCCATTGTCCACCACAAGAGGTATCAAGTCATCAAGATGTTAAATAGATAATATTCCCAGTGTTCTGCACCACTCTGTCCCTACTGTCACACTTAAGTGTAACCAAAAGAAGCCAGGATGTGAGGGACAGAGGACTCAGCTACATTGGCAAAGAAAAGGCACTTTATGCGTTCTTTATGCATTCTAACACTGTGACACCAGAAGGCGCTGTGGAGTTCCATTTTTGCTAACCCGATTTCTCATACAAAGTTTGCAACGTGTTTAACCGAAACGCTTCTTTAATCCAGCCGGAGACTTGCTTTGGTCAACTGCCTCATTCTGCAGATTTTAGTTGCCACAAAAGAACAGCAAATTGTTAGTTATTTAATGCGTCGCTGTTATATTTCTTCTGCCAGAGAGCAGGAGGGATTTTCTGCCTCAGGTACCAAAATGAATCAACCAGCCCTGAGTGAGTAATGTGTACTTTGACATAGGGATGGAATATCCACTGTTCCAGCTCAGGCAGCAAAGCATATTGGACTGAACGTATTGGAGAAGGCTTGGTGAGGAATCAGCATTATATCCCCTTGCATGTCCAAAACGAGACTTGATTTACCCAGATCATACGTTTCCATGACCTGGAGGCTCTTCCCTTTGAGACGCACAAGCATTCTCAACATCAGAGCTTCCCAAACTGTGTGTCACAACATGTACGTGTGTTGGCTGCAGTGTGTAGGTGTGTCGTGCGAACGCTCCCTGCTCTCCTCTGGGGTCTGGAAAGTGCTTTGCCAGTAAAACCGAATTAATGTGTCACGAAATGATGCATGTCTAAAAAGTGTGTCGCCAACATGAAAAGTTGGGAAAGCAAAGGTGTTTATCAGTTACCCCAGGTCAACTAAGCTTTGTGCCATCCCAGATAAAGCCAGTGGACAGACTTCCCCCCACCATGGCATTATATCTGGCCTACTGCTTCCTTTTTGACAAAGATATTTCACATTTCAATAACCGTCCATATAAATGGTAGGCTCTTCTTCCTGGGCGTTTTTGAAGCTGAGGTTGGCTGGCCATCTATCATGGATGCTTTACAGTGGTACCTCAGGTTACATACGCTTCAGTTTACAGACTCTGCTAAGCCAGAAATAGTGCTTCAGGTTAAGAACTTTGCTTCAGGATGAGAACAGAAATCGTGCTCCGGTGGCGCTGCAGCAGCAGGAGGCCCCATTAGCTAAAGTGGCGCTTCAGGTTAAGAACAGTTTCAGGTTAAGTACGGACTTACTTGAGTACATAACCCGAGGTACCGCTGTAGTTGAGATTCCTGCCTTGGAGGGGGTTTGGCTAGATGATCCTGGGGGTCCCTTTCAACTCTACAATGTAGGAGTGAAGAAGGAACTGGGCTTCGCGCCCCAAAGCAACCGTCCAGGAAAGAGCGCCCGGCCCAAGGAGACCGTCCCGCGCTCCTAGACACGGGGAATGAAGGTGCGGCGGGGGGGGGGCGCCCCAAATGCAGCGGCTCCAGCAATTCTCTGGCTGTCTCGTTTCGCGGCGTTGCGAGGTCTTCTCCGCGCGGCCAGAAGTGGGCGCCGGATCGACGACTGCCGCTTTCCCGGCGACATGTCGCCGCAGCAGCCCCGGGCGCTTGGCTCCTCCGGCCCCGGCGGGCTGTAGGCGCTCCGGAGGGCGGCGGCGGCAAAGCGGGGACGGCCGAGAGCGGCGCGCCCGTCCCGGAGCCTCCGCCCCGCACGCCCCGCCTTCCGCGCCTGCCCAGCCGCGGGGAGGAGGAGGCGGCGGAGGAGGAGGACGCAGGAGGCCGGCGCCTCGTCCCGCCGCCGCAGGAGAGCCTCGGCCGGAGCCTGGCCAGCCGCGCCACAGGTGCCTGCCTGCCGGGGATGCCCGCGTCGCCAGCCCGGCGGCCGCGGCAGCAACCCAGCGGGGAAGAGGCGCGCCATGAGCACCGGCACAGGTAGGCGGAGGGCTCTTCGGCGGGAAGAGGGCAGCTCGCCTTGGCCGCCGGAGGAAAGCGCCTTCGCCGCGGCGCCCCCGTCACGTCAGAATGCGGCGGGCGGGCGGGCGGGCTTGGGAGCGAGGCGGCGGAGCATCCTCCGCGGGCGCCCGGGCGAGGCGGGCAGGGTCGCTCCGGGGCTGCAGGCGAGGCGCGCCCGCTTGGCGCATTTGGGGGCTCCGGGGCTCTCCGCCTCGCCCCCCCCCCGAGCAGCCCCGGCCAGGCTCCCCGGCTTCAGGGCGGGGCCGCCGCGGTGGCTTTGCTGCAGAGCGAGCCGCGGGGAGGGCGGAGGATGCGCCTGGTCTGCCCTGCCGCTCGGCTCTCGGTCAGGCGGCGGCGTCTTCGTCGCTTTCAACATTTTTGCTGCATTTGGATGGCTGCTTCTGGAGGAAAAGCGGATTATCGATTTTCATGGAAATGAAGGTATCTGCTCTCCAGCGTGAGCGGCGGAAGGCAGTGCTGGCGAAGATGATCGAGGCTGCTACCTGGGGCCGCCAAAAAAGGAGTACAGTGGTACCTCGGGTTAAGTACTCAATTCGTTCCGGAGGTCCGTTCTTAACCTGAAACTGTTCTTAACCTGAAGCACCACTTTAGCTAATGGGGCCTCCCGCTGCTGCCGCGCCACCGGAGCACGATTTCTGTTCTCATCCTGAAGCAAAGTTCTTAACCTGAAGCACTATTTGTGGGCTAGCAGAGTCTGTAACCTGAAGCGTCTGTAACCCGAGGTACCACTGTAATGCACTCTTAACTGCTTCCACCCTGCTCCATTTCTCGGGAATTGAGGTCATGTGTTCACTCAAATTCTTACAAATGACATTGCTGATTAAAACATGGCATTTTGTGTCCTCCCATTTTTGGTGATTCCCCCGCCCCTGGCTTTTGAGTCCAATTTTTAAAAATAATAATAAATTATTTCCATGTCACACATCTGACTGGGTTGCCCCAGACAGACTTCCAACAAATTATAAGACCACAGTAAAACATCAAACATTAAAAACTATACAGGGCTGCCTTCAGATGTCTATGGAAAGTCATCTGCAGTACAGTAATTGTTGATCTCCTTGATGGGAGGGTGTTCCACAGGGTGGGCGCCACCACCGAGAAGGCCCTCTGCCTGGTTCCTTTGGACCTCATTTCTTGCAGTGAGGGAACTGCCAGAAGGCCCTTAGAGATGGAGCTCAGTGTCCGGGCTGAACAATGTGGGTGGAGATGCTCCTTCAGGTATACAGTACAGGGCCAAGGCCATTTAGGGCTTGAAAGGTCAGCCTTGTGTACACAGTGTGGCACAGTGTGGGTTGACAGCACCTGGGCCGGGGCAAGTTTTGTGCACGGCCGGGGCGAGGGCACATGCGCAAATGGTGAACAGAGCCCTCTCCCAACCGGCTCCTTGCCCGCTGCCTCCTCCCACCTCCAACCCACCTGCCGCCACGTCTCAGCTGCCAGGGCTGCATGGTTGTCATGGGGGTGCCTGATTGCGCCCCCTCAAAAGGCTTAGGGCCGTGGGTCCCCCTTGCCTCCCCCATGCTACGCCTCTGCTTGTGTGAACTTGCCGTTGCTTTACCTGGCAGAGAAGTGAAGCAGGCGGCAAAATCCCACCTTCCTGAATGGTTTGCCTGTCTTTCCTGGTTCTATTGTTGCGATTCCCTGATCTGCACCCGTGGCGCCATTTCAAAAAGCTTTAAATTATGCAGATCAGATATTTGGGAGAAGAAGCAGTATAGTCTGCAGCCTTTCTCAACCTGTGGGTCCCCAGATGTTGTTGAATTACAATTCCCATCACCCTTAGCTAGCAAGGCCAGAGCTCAGGGATGATGGAAGTTGCAGTCCAACAACATCTGGGGACCCGCAGGTTGAGAACCGCTGGAAGCAGGTAGGGTGTTGGACTTGGACCAGGGAGACGTCGGCCCAGATCCTTGTCACCGAGTTTACTGGATAACTTCTGGCCAGTTTCTGGTTCTCAGTCTAAACAGCTTGTGAGAGGGCTGCTCTGAGATCCTTAGAGGAAAGGCGGGACAAAAATCTGATAGAGGGCTAAATCCAACTCTTATCCTCCTAGCTTCCATGACTTATCCGCTTGTATCTTGCTCCCGTAGCATCGTTCCTCCTTGCTGTTTCTTAAGTTTATTTAATTTTCTGCTTTTTTATGTTAAAGTGCACGTATGCTAATAAAAAACAAATAAAACAAAAATAATAAGTGAGTATTCACATGTGTTGGCCTACTAGTGTGCCTTTCACTCTTCATTTGCAGTGGGAATGGGCATGGAGGAGCATAGTGGGGAAAGTAGTGTTTATGTTGCATGCCGTGTGTGGAACATTCACTTCTTTCTTGCTGGTTGCAGAAGATTCAGCATCACTAAAAGACCCTCATGTGCCAAGAGCAGTGCTGACTACTTAAAATTAGGTGCTGATAGCAGTGATAGCACCAACACAGTACCTTCATGGTTTATTTAACAAATGCCACATTTCACTGCTTGTTCACTTCTAAGGAAACACACTTAAGATCCAGCTGGCAGACTTTGAACTGGAATGCCACAATTATCTATACCTGGTTTATAATATAGCACTAAAATAAGGGCGGTAAAATAAGAGAAAGTAGAAATTTACACATCAAGGGGTATATTTGCGTCTCCCAATGCAAGCAGCCACATTTGACATCTGCATTAGCAGGAACAGAAGTTATGTTTATCTAGGAGTTTCCTATTGGCCAAGAGCATAACTTTGCATCACCGACCAAGTGTTTGTGGATGAATGAATTCTCTCAAATAGAGAACAGCCTGTATTTTTGAAATTGGAAACCTTGAATAAAATGTGGAACTATTTTCTAGGTCATTTATATGCTCGTCTCCTATCTTTTACCGTTTGGCTCTCAAGAGTTTGCTATTTGTGTTATACAATACTTGGATTTGAAATCCATTTATAAATAGTAAATACTGGAAATGATGGAGCCAAAATTTGGGCGTTAGATGTAATCCTGCATAGCTTTCATGCCGCGCGAGGCATTGGGTCTTGCTCAGCTGGAGGGTGGGAGCTCTTTAAAGAAGCCGAAGGTGCCACAAGCTGTATCGGCCTGGTGATGCAGCTTGCTGCTCTCTCTGTGAGATGAGGGGCAGAGCACGATGGTGGCTTCACACAGCAGTATATTGGAGGTGAAACTGCTGCTGCTGTCCCTCTGCTTCCAGCAGCCCGATACTGAAAGTGGAGCTGGTAGCAGAGGGAAGCCGCCGGGTGAAGCCGCCATCTTGGTCTGCCCCTCATAGCAGTCCTGGGTGGTGTATCAATACATCCCCCAGGCCTAATCTCAACCAACAAAAAGAGAACCAGAAGGTCAAAGGGAGTAATTTGCACTTCAAGGGGAAAACATATTTTTCTCAACCACTTAATAGATATTTCTGGAAAAAATGGATAGAGTGTAAGAGTTCAGATCTAAAGTGATTGGGCCCAGGTTGCTCAAAGAGATCTTGATGTCTAAGTGTTGATCCTCTACTTCAGTGATTTATTGCTGCGATCCGTGGTAAAGTGGCTTGCAAGCTTCATTCAGGTGAAAAATACAATTAAAAGCCATACAGCATCTAGCAGAGCACATTGCAATTGTTCCAGCAGGCAGAAAAATGCCCTCCATACCATCTGAGATGTGATTTGTTGCAATGAGAGTGAGGATCCTCTACGTTGCAGCACTTTGTGGAATTCCCTTCGCAAGAGGGCTTGCTTAGTTCAGCCAAAGTGTTCACTTCTCTTGGAGATGGGGGTGATGCCACTCCATTTATTTTTCATTCTGCCTGTTTCATTTTCTCACTGCTTGGAATGTTCAGGAGCGTTTTGTTACCTTGAGTTTTGATGTGAAAAAAGTTTTCAAAAAGCATGCAATCCTTGTCCACAGAGTTAAGGCACTGCAAATTGTTCACTGGACCAAACTGCAGTGATTCCAGAGGTCTTCCAGGGCACCAAGATGCAGGACACAGCCCACGTGTGAAGAACACTCTGGATGATATTCTTGGCCCTTGTAGCTAGCATGGGTTGATCCAAAATTCTTATCCCATGGTTATATCAAATGATTGATTTACTGCGGAACCACATTTAGATTTGCTCTCCTTCAAGCATAAACCAGAAGGGAAGTTTCACCTAGGGGTGTGTGATCA